CCTTTTTGTCTTTTTTTACTGACCGGTAACGGGATTGCAACCCTCAGTGTCACGCCCGTACGGGGGACCAGCAACAGGATCACAACCCTCAGTATTGCACCCGCACTGCGCTCAGCCAGTGAGCGGGAAACGGTCTCCACATGGGATCTGAACCCTTGGCGGGAGCGCCTCCGCGCTCCCAAGCGGCGCACTCTCCAGTGCGCCACTGGGCCAGCCCAAACCTACCATTTTTAATCTTCTCCTTCAAGGCTGAAATAAAATGAATAATTGAGATAATGATAAGCCTGTTTGGTAGGAAGGTCTACTCCTGCCTCAGGTTGCGTGGTTATTTGTTTCACATCTCTGTGGACTTCTAGTGTTAAAGGGGTTTGAAGGCTTCTGGTCAAGATGGCGGAATAGACGGTCCTCAGTGTCACTCTCTCCTACAAATCAACCAATTTACAACTATTAGAAAGCAATGACAGCCAAGCTGGGGCTGCAAGAGCTCAGGGGAAGAGGAGGAGAGACCAACGGAGTGCATGAAGGTGGGAGAAGCCACAATGAGAGAAAGAAAGAACTGCTCCCGCCATTTCAAATCCTGGCCGCTTCCAGGCTGGAGCTGCTGAGTGCACAGAGCAAGAGCTGGTGAAGGCTGCAGCTGTGCCCTTTGTATGAAGTTGCTTGGAGGTGGCAGGGGAGAGGAGGGCCTTCGTGGCCCCAAGGCCAGCAGGACCACTGGCAGGGTTCCCATGGACTGCACAGGAGTGAGGGGCCACAACAATGAGAGGGGGAGCTGCTCAGAGGCCGGTGAGTCATCGCAAGGGCCTGGTGCACGGGAAGTGTTCAGAGTGCAGGGGGAGGGGTGAGTGGGTGGGGAAGATGAGCCACTGGGGGAACATAGTGCAGCACTGACAGCTGATCTGTACCCCGGTGAGTGCAGGACTACGCAGTGGAGACTGGTTGGGAATGCAGAATGCAAATCTGCAGGGGGTGCAGTTTGCTAGGGAGTCTCGGGCCCAGACCAGTTTCCACGTAGCCCAGGCATGCTGGAGCTCACAAGACCAGAAGTACAAATAAGATCAACGAATAAAACCTGAACTGCACAAAAAGCCTTCCCCAAGGAATCAGCAGCAAAGCAGCAATTTAGCTCAACTACAGGGCTCAAGGGCTGGTCCACACAGGAAGTTCCCTCATTTTTGAAGTAAGCCAAGGACAACAAATTAGTTCCAGTGCAGAGTTTAAGTGGTGGGAACAGTGAATAATCCAACACAGAATTGAAAGAAAAAACAAAATACCCACAGACCAGAGACAGAGTTTGATATTAACTAGTTAAAGTCTCACGTCACCATAGAGCACCTATAAAACCTGGAAGGACTGGAAGCCTCCTGGGCTCCCAAGCCAGGGACGGGGGAGGACTGGGGGCCTGAGCCATGCCCCCCAATACCTGCAACCAGCCCAGTGATGACCACCAAGCTGCCACAGGAACTGCCTTGGGCTCCTGAGCTGGAGCAGTTGGGGGCTGAGGGCCTTGGCCACATCACCCTAACATCTGCATGCCCAGGGACGACCAGTGAGCCATGACTGGAAGCCCCCTGGTTTCCCAAGTCAGGGTGGTGGGGGACCAATGGCTTCAGCCACACCTCCCTGACATCTGCATCTAGCCCAGCAATGACTGAGCCACTGCTGGAAGCCCCCTGATCTCCCCTGCAGGAATGAGGGGGGTGCCACAAGCTTCAGCCATACCTCCCTCCTTCCTCCTCCCACCCTATTTCCTTCTCCCTTCCCCTGTCCCCCTCCCTGCCAACTGCTCCAAAGCAACATCTTAGAATGTGAAAAAATAATAATATTAATAAATAAATAAACAACTTTAAAAAAAAAGGAGTTTGAAGAATGACTTACAGCGTTGACCTTAAACTACAAATGCTCATGCTGGCTCTGGGAGCAATGGTAATCAGGCTGCCCCCGCCCAGTGTTAGTACTGGCATCCATGATGACAAGATGCTTTAACTATACCCGGTGCAATCT